GCCAACCTCATTGCAAAGATTAGAGGTATCTGCTGTGTGATCAACAGAAGCCTAACTTAGTACATACGTGGAACCATGATCTGGTGACTTTATACTACAAACACAATCTCAAAGATACGTAAAATACTGTTTCACTTTTTTCGGATATGTTTTAAAGTGTTACTAAACCCCGGACCCTGCATTCACTATATCTGGTCTCGCACACTACACACAACATGGAAATGCAATTATTTTAGTAAATATAGACTGCTAAATACCCTTTCTCATCAGCAGTGAGCAGTCTTGTGGCTTCTATCAGTGTTCAGCAGAGTACTAGCTACAGCTTGTAGAAGGAGCTTTCTTTCTACTCTAGGAGGATGCAGAACCCCTGACCTCTGTCTTGACAGTGCTAATTGGCCCTGTGCTGATCACATGCACTCTCCCAAGAAAAAAAAAAGCAATACACACCAAATTGAGCATGTGCAAAATGCCTATAGTTCAGTCTGCCTTATCAGGAGATAAGAGGTGGTCGCCTAAACAAGGGGAGGAACAGAGCAATCAGGAACAAATGGCCTATTTACACAATGCAGAGGATTAACCCCTTAGGTTCCACAGTGAGTATAACAAGCATGCTTTACTGCATATACAGACTGATTTTACTGTTGTGGGTTTAGTAACACTTCAAAAGCACTGAGCTCAATTGCAGTTTTCTTTAATAGTAAATGTGGACTGTCACTGTCTCATTCAGCATAAAGTGATTAAGCCTGTTACTAGACATCCCCCAGTGTGTACCTAAAAAATTAGCAAAATATAGTACAGGATGGTTTGCAACCCTCATAATCCACAATTTGTGTTGGTCGTTATCATGCTCTCTGCCCGGGGGGGGGGCTTTGTTGGTCTGTGTCAGGCTCTCTCCGCGGGGGGGAGGACTGATTTTTGTGTTGCCTACCACTGTATATATGTATATATGGCCTTATATATTTTCATTGGCATTAAATATATTTTTAGCACATTTTTAATTTCCCCTGGACAGCATTAATCTATTTCCACTTCCTCCCAAAGGCTGAATTTTTTGTGAGTTGCAGCCCTCATTCTGGCCTCAACTCTCTCCACTGACAGCTTGTGAAGCACAAGCAGGAGAGATGTTAGGTGACTTGAAGCCATTATTATTAATATAATTATTATAGCATTTAACATAATTATTTTGCAAAATTAGTGAAAAGCATTTCACTCTCCCTAAAAAGACCTTAAGCCCAAGAACAAAAACATTACATACTGTAGCTTACCAGCCCTCAGATGTGGTGGCTGTGTTGTTTTTTTTTTTTTTCCTCTTTTTTCATCTGGTCATACTGCCAAGTCCTGTTCTAAGGTGACAACGCTCACTGTACTGTGTCCATGGAGGAACAACGTTGTCACCCTAAGACAGGACTACAGAAAACCTTTGCTCCGTTCATCTCCATAACATGGGGAGGTATTCTGTAATCCTAACACACTTGTTGATAACATTGTTTAACAAGAGGCTGCAGAGTGCACAGAATATAGGACAGCACTGGATTTTGGGCAGGATTGACTGGTATTTTTTGTACTAATCTAACAGATTTAACAAAACACGTTCAATGCTATATTTAGCAGACCAAAAGGGAGCAAATAAGAGAAACCCATTGTTAGGGTATACATAAACATTGGATGGAATGTATAGCCTTTTTGTGTATTTTTTTTTCTTTAAGATATCAAGTAATTATATAAGTACATGGGTGTATCCATTTTTGCACATTACATACTCAGGCCCTTCTTCTTGCTTTGCAGCGCTATACAGTGGTTATGCTTTACTGCTCCTTCTGACTATGCAAGTCTGCAGGGTTGATTTACTAAAGACAAATAGATTGCGCACTTTGCAAGTGCAGTTGCACTCAATTTCACCACAATTTACTGAATGAAGTAAAGCTCTGCTGATTTACATCATCCAATCCTTTGTAAGCAAAAAAGTTTTTTTAAAAAAAAAAACAACATTTTTCCTTGCACCTGTTTGGGTATTCCTTACAAAGTTAAGCTTTACCACATTACACTTAAAGGATAAGTTCACCTTTTTGACCAAACATAATAAATGCACATTTTTTTTGCAGGTAAAAAAAATGGGCACTTATTATTTTTGGTTGTAAGAGCCTGTAAAGCATTGCACCAGCAGACAGCAGATCGCTGGTGCCATGCAGGTCTCCTGCAGACCTGTTAGTATATCTGTTTGTTTTTACCGGATCTGCAGATACACTGACAGGAAGATTCAATGAACTACCATGGTGCTCCACAGCACCATGGTAGTTCATTGAGAACTACAAGCCGACAGCCACTACGGATGACAGGACTTGTAGTTCATTCAAACTGTGAAGGAATGACAAAGCTATGTGGACGGAGCCCCACACAGCTGCGCTGTTTTTGAAAAGTGACAGCTAGTACGGGGAACTTCTCCCGTACTTCTGTCACAGGGAGGGGGAAGGCAGCAGGCAGCAGCTCCAACATTGGGCTCATGTTCCACCCTAAAAACGAGTGGACCATGTAGCATGTTCCCAAAGGTGAACATATCCTTTAAGGAAAATAAGTGCAACTGCAAAGTGCACAGTCTATTTGCCTTTAGTAAATCAACCCCTATACGCCATCCAACTCATTAAAAACAATGCACTCCCTGTGATACAGCATATCTCCCTCTTGAGATTAATCTACAAATCACTAGATTTAATGCAATAATATAAATATATAAAAAAAAAGCAAGCTTATAAGAACAGTCACATCAAAACACACATATATGCAACTAGACACTGCAACAAAATCTCAGAATGAGTTTGGTGATAATACATCTTATTGTACGTTAAAGCCCAACCGTAGGATCTTTATATCAAGTTACTATCTTTTTCCCCTGCTTCCTGAACTCCCCTTCACATGGTTTACATTTTACAAAAATTGCCCAGATATCTGAAACATGTTTAAAGAAGCAGTCACATGATCACCTCTAATTTACCCCTGCCCCAGAACAACGGTATGACCTTGGTTAACTACTTGCCGCCCAGCCACTGTACATATACGGCGGCAGGGCAGCACTCACAGGCAAAACCACGTCTTAAAACGTGTGTGAGGCACGCAGCCACCCTATCTGTCCCGCGGATCACTGCCGCAGATGTCAGTTGCCGGGTCACAGAAGCTCCTTAGCGGCTATGTCCCGGCGATCGGCGGCAAACAGTGACAGAGAGCACAGCTGCAGTAGCTGTGCTGTCTGTCACTTCCCTGTCAGCTCGAGGATGAGCTGATCGAGAAAGAACAGTCTCTCTTTCTCGATCAGCCTTGTCCCGCCCAGTACACACCCCCGCCCCCTAGTAAAACACTCCCCTCACTCCTATAACCCTTCCCTGCAAAATAAAGTTAACCCCTTCCTCCCCATTGCCATTTGTACAGTGTCAGTTTTTTTTTTTTTGCACTGATCACTGTATTAGTGTTTTTGGGGATGTCAGTGACCCCAAGTCAGTACCCCCCAATGTCAGAATGTCCGCCGCAGTCCCGCCATAAGTCGCTGGTCGCTGCCATAAGTCCTTGATCGCCGCCATAATTCGCTGATCGCCGCCATTATTAGTATAAAAAAAAACTAAAAATCCCAGTATCTTTCCCGCCATTTGTAAACGCTATAACGTTCACGTAAACCAATTAATTTACACGTATTGGGTTTTTTTTTTAGCAAAGACATGTCGCAGAATGCATTTTGGCAGAAATTTATGACTAAATTTGATTTTTGCATTTTTTTTTTACTGGACATGTTTTATAGCAAAAAGTCCAAAATATTGTTTTTTTTCCTCTAAATTGTCAGCCTTTTTTTTTATAGCGCAAAAAATAAAAACCGCACAGGCGATCAAATACCACCAAAAGAAAGCTCAATTTGTGGGAAAACAAAGGATGTAAATTTCATTTATGTACCATATTGCATGACTGCGCAATTGTCCGTTAAACTAGCGCAGCGCTGTATAGCAGAAAAATGGCGTAAATTGCAGTATTTATACCATAGTTTGTAGGCGCTATAACTTCCACACAAAGCAATCAATATACACTTATTGGGATTTTTTTTTGCCAAAAACATGTAGCAGAATACATTTTGGTCTAAATTTATAACCAACTTTGAGTTTACTATATATTTTTTATAGCTGAAAAATAAAAAATATTGTTTTTCTTCAAAATTTTTGGCATTTTTTTGTTTATAGTGTGAAAAATAAAAAGCACACACGTGATCAAATTACACCGAAAGAAAGCTCTATTTGTGTGAAAAAAAGGACGTAAATTTCGTTTGGGTGCAGCATTGCATGACTGCGCAATTATCAGTTGAATTAGTGCAGCGCCGAGTAGCAAAAAGAGGCCTGGTCATTAAGGGGGGTAAATCCTCTGGAGCTCAAATGGTTAAACAGCACTTCCAAACCCTCACCCTTTTAAATGAGAGTTCAAAAAGTGTGATTGGTTGTGTCCAGGGATGGAGAGGAAACATGATCAGGTACCGTCTGCAGTCCATAGGACTAAAGCAGGTGGCCAGGGCCAAGATGAAGAGGTACCATTCAATCAGGAATTGGGATGGCAGTAGGGACTCATTTGGGGGGATATTGGGGCACAAACTTGACAAACAAAACCCCCCCCCAAAAAACATAGAGTTGAGGTTTCACTTTACATGGTTTACTAATGTTTAATTTATATATTCAGCAGACATCAGTTTTGTTTCTTATCTTTGTTATAAATGTGACAATAATTTATTTCTGTTATATAATCTTTAATGTGAAATATTTTAATAGTGCATATTAGGTAGGACAGTACCATAATAGGTAGGAAAGGCAGAATTATACAATAGCCCTGTATCCTGCGCTCTTTTTTTAAACAAGCAATGTCTACCAGGGTTTCTTAAGAAAATGCTTCAAAGCGTAAATTTTCCTTGTTGTGTTGTTTGAAAAAATCCTGATTTTAAATATTGTTGTTTCTTTTAGATCTTACAGGTGAATAAGGTGATGTCCATCCTGTTCTGTGTGATGTTTCTTCCTTATCTTTGTGGCATCCACGCTACCACCATGGATAAGAGGAATTTGCCCGAAAACTCAATGAATCATTTTTTTATAAAGCTCATGCAAGCCGACCTTGTAAAAAACAAAGCTTCCAAGCAGGTGGCCAACACCAAGGAAAACCACCAGCAAAATACAGTACCAAAAGCAGAAATCCTTGTTGACTTGGATATGGTTGATGACAGCCTTGAAAGTGGGAAATCAGACTTTCAGCCAGTCCACTCATTGGAAGCAGAACTGTTTAAGCATCAGCGACAGAGACGTTATAATTCGCCGCGCGTGCTCTTGAGCGGCAATTTACCCTTTGAACCTCCACCCTTGTATCTAATGGATGACTTTGTGGGACACTCTCCCTCAACGAACAGGACGTCAAGGAGGAAAAGGCATGCGGAGCACAGGAGCCACCGGGGAGAATTTTCTGTGTGCGACAGCGAGAGCTTATGGGTCACAGACAAGTCAAATGCCGTTGACATTCGGGGGCACCAAGTAACTGTTTTGGGGGAAATTAAGACTGGCAATTCACCGGTCAAGCAATATTTTTACGAGACGAGATGTAAGGACGCAAGGCCGGTCAAAAACGGATGCCGAGGCATTGATGACAAACACTGGAATTCTCAATGTAAAACATCCCAAACTTACGTCCGGGCATTGACTTCTGAAAACAACAAACTGGTGGGATGGAGGTGGATCAGGATAGACACATCTTGCGTTTGTGCATTATCGAGGAAAATCGGGAGAACATAGCTTCAACTTTTCACTATATAAATTATTACTTTAAATTATATAATATGCATGTAGCATATAAATGTTTATATTGTTTATATATTATAAGATGTTCTTATTTATTAAATTTCAGCAAACTTATATAAGCTTTATCTCCCCTCCAAACAGATCCTAAGGTCTGTGCCTTCTGTTGGGCATTTCTTAACACAGAAAAAAAAAATAAGTACACTTTTGATTCCACTGCGAGCAGTATATATGACCCAAAAACTATATGTCAGTATTTGTCATACAGTATTTTCTTTGTCAGTGACTGTCTTTTCAGACTTTTCAAATTCAGCTATATCAAAGATGTATAAATTGTATGCACATTATATTCAATTTCAATATATTTTACCTCGATAATTAAAGAGAAAGTAATATTAAAAAGAAAATACAAGTTCCATTTCAAAACAAATGGTAAGATTCCAGTGATGTTATACATTACTTAGTTTGCTCTTTTGTATATATAAGATTTTGTTTTATCTACATAGACTTTTTATAATTTTGGATTTCTAAAAAATTGTGCATTTTTAGCCCGAGATAGATGCTCATTGTTGATGGAATTTGCTATAAAGTGGGTCACGTTACTGCCGAGCTTAACTACCTTAGAAGAATTAAAGTAAATAAACAGTATATATATATATATATATATATATATATATATAAATATGTGAAAAATGATCCTAGAAAAAGAAAGATGTTAAATTTGCCACAGTACATATTAAGAGCATATTCTTAAAATATTATTTTTGGGCTTTTAGATTTGAAAATGTCATTTGGACTGTACTTTTAAACATGCATAAAAATGGTTATTTTGCAATTCTGCTTTGAGATTTTTGCAGCAGGTGTCTACAAAAGTATGGTGGTTTGGTAAGGTCTTGCTCACACTGAATGCATTGAGAAAAATAAGTAAGAACATGTTTGCCTATGGGTGGTGATGGGATCTTTTTTATACATTCAATTCAACTGATTTGAACTGAAAATATGCCTCACAGTAGGCAAAAGTTGAGACCTGATAATATTCTGCTCTAGTTAAGGAACATTTACAGGTCTTGTCCCTCCCCCAGTCTGTGACTGGACAATGAATGAAGAAGCAGCAAACTGATTAAGTTATCTTTTAGTAATGCTGCTCTCTTCTCCCATGACCATGGATATTGTTAGTTTATGGGCTCTACAGCACAACTGATTGGCTCCATGTGATTCTAGCTTGATCAGTGAAAGGAGAGGCAGTACAATGATGAGCCCATCTCTCCATCACTCTGCTTTCTCCATTTGTCAGAATGCTCCATATCAGAACATGAATTGATTGGATGATTGTGCGGCTTCTCCCTATTCCAGTCTGAGCTCTACTGTACAGGGACTGCGAGAGGCTGATACCAAATCAAGTTACTTACACTGCTTTAATTTGAAAAAACCTTGATGAATTATTGAATACAGAGTTGAAATAATGTGTGCCTTGTAGTGTTCAGCTTTTATATAAAGTGCCCTAAATAAGTGAAGTGCAGAATATCGACGTGAATAGTCCTCATTACATTAGTACTTACAATGTTTAGGAGCTGACACTAAATATTGATATAAATCAAAAGTTCTACTACATGCCTAGTACAAAGAGGATCTTTGGAACAGGCAGCACAAATATACTTGATTGGTTCATGGAGCCAGTCACTCACTATTGGCGCTTAGGTTCAGTTTTGCGCTTTTTTTTTTTACACAAGGGGCAGTGCTAGGAGGTGTGTAATGTTGCACGTATGTTAAAATCCAGCACACAAAAAATACCAAACAAAAAGAATAACAATGGAAAAAGTGTAAATATTAATGGTTTTAAAAATAGAAATGAAAATAATCATCAGTTATTTAGCATTGATTAGGATAAACTAAGAGTTACCAAGGGGTTAATATTTAAATTCTTTTTTTTACATGCTAGACTGCAATTGCTAACATAATATACAGATTGAAACACATCCCTTAGGTCTGCATAGGAATGAATCTGTGTCAATACATAGACTCTGTCCCAGACGGTCCGTTTTTTTTTTTTTACAGCAGCTGTAATTACACAGCAACCCCCGGCTGTCACTTTGACAGCTGGGAATTGCTAGTAAATACAAGAGGAAGAATCAGTGAGGAAGAAGGACAGGGTATACTTGGATCAGAGATTTTTTGGGGCCATGTGTAGCACGCCTAGTGTGCGCAAATGGTTAAATGTTAACTTTGCTTAATCCTCATCCTGATCATCCATATTTGTATAGTAATCCTTGTATCTCAGTAGACATTCATTTAAACCCCATTATTTTCTTTAGGTTTGTCTACCATATACAGTATATATGTGTTGTGAAATTCACAACTGCTATTAATAATCCAGGCTGTTCGTTTCCTAAGGGTATTGAAATATTTTGACACAGGTCACCATGAGAATTTTAAAGCTGAACTCAAGGAACAAGCAAAAAACACAATTAAACCATATTGGAGCCAGACATGCATAGTCAGATTGGGGACCTCACTTTTCTCCCCTGCAGAAATTCAACTTGGTCACGTTCCCTATGCCATATCCCCCCCCCCCCCCTTCTTTTCATTGAAGGACATTAAAGGAGCATCAGGACGCTGATGAAGCCATCTATCTCCTACTATCAACATGTTCTCAGCAGATCCTTAGTAGTTCAGAGTACTCACCTTCGCTCTGCTGTACAGGAGATTCCAAGGGCCGATTTTAGAAGAGATACAGCAATTACATTTGTTGCATTTAAAAGTAGTTGAAATAATTTTTTGATTTAATGCAGAATTGCAATATATGATATTTCAAGGATAAGTTCCCGTTTGGAACATATTACATGTTCCACCTGTTTTTAGAGTGGAACATGTAACATGTTCCCATAGCCGCAGCTGAATCTGCTGCCCCCCTCCCTCTAGTACAGATTTGAAAATAGCGCGGCCGTGCAGGGCTCCGCCATCATGGCCGCGCCACTGATGCACAGTGTTCTATGAATGAGTGCCTACAAGTTCCGACAGCCTTAGCGGCTGTGGGCTTGTAGTTTTCAATGCAAAAACGTGGTCTTTCATTGAAGCTTCCTGTCAGAATATCTGCTTGCTGATACATCTCGTACGGCAAACAGATATTCTGACAGGTCTGCGGGAGACGTGCATGGCATCAGGGATCTACTGGTGCAATGCTTTACAGGCTGCTTTGGACAAAAATATTAAATGCACATTTTTTACCTGCAAAAAAATGCATTTATTATTTTTGTTCAAAAGATGAGTCTGGGTTTTCACTTGTGCGGGTCAGGAACATGTGCATTATTGCTGCTCGGGGGTGCCATTCATTCTAAATGGCACCCCTATGCATTTTGCACTCACCAAATCACTTGCTTCTTTCCCTGCATTTCTTGTGGGTACAACAGCCCATTCAAATGAATGAACTAACATACCCACAACATGTACATGCAAATGCGCTGAACTAGTGTAGACCAAGCCTTATACCCAGCTGGTGTTTAGCCAAGGTTTTACCATACCATCTGGTCCAGACAGACCTTTCCTCCCTTTGTGAAGACTAAGGTTTCTCCACATTCACTATGGAAGGTTCTCTACAACCTTAGGACTTGCGTAATGGACAAGTTTATATTGCTTTTGGGTGCATTAAGCTCTATTTGATCTTCTTTTAACCTTTTTCTAAGTTACACCAACCTGCTAAGGCTGCTTTTGTGTTTTCATTGACCTGTATGGGGAAACGGTTCAAATGCCCATGTCCTAAGTCACCTGGGGTAGTCATGAGTAGGTTCATAGCAACTGATTCTTTTATTATTTAAAACTCTTCACGTTTTAATGATAGGAAATATCTTTTGATATTGAAACTTATTTTTTTAAATTACAACAAATTGAAAGTCAACTCTTGTTCTTTAAAAATGTACATTATTTAGCACATATAAAAATTTTCAGTGCCAACTAAATTTACTGTTGGCCTAACTCTCAGATGAGGGTAAGATTAATACAGCCCTGTTCTGTTTCTCCTTTCCCCTTCTTCAGATTTTACTCTGATCTACGATCTGTGTTACATTTTTGCGGTAGGTTTCACTTGTATGACTAAATTCATAGCAGAAAATACAACATGCGAAGACAGTTTCTATCAAGTATTTAGATATCTACACCCTAAAAGTGGTTATAAACCCAAAAAGCAAGCATTTAGTGTATTGGAGATTACCAGTTCTTAGATGTGATGGCTGCATTTGTTTTCTTTTTTAGGCTTTCTGTTATTTTCATTTGGTGATCCTATCAGTACATCTGTTGTTTTTTCAGCAAATCAAGCTGTTCTACAGATGTAGCAGTTAGAGGGTTGCGACAAACTATTTACCACTGACAAGGGGACTCATAATGGTCAGCTTTCATTAATATTATTATTATTAATAGTAGTAGTTTTTTTTTAACTGATACATTTTTATTAATTTTCACAAGGACAACAGAACAACCACACAGCATGATTAGCAATGTTTCAAAGTATATAGAACCGAGATGTATCAAGGATAAGTTGGCCAATCTATATAGCAGAGTTGAGCACACATTTATAAGAATAATGAGTTTATTCTCTGAGGAATTGAGTTCACTAGTAAATGTGTAGGTATTGCTGTAAATCTGCACCAAGTGCTCAGCTATATAGAGCTAAGCCCTAAACTGGCTGTGGATGGAAAACAGGTGCAGAAGAAAGGATATGTAGACAAAATAGAGGAGAAAAGAGAAAATAGGGGAGGGATAGAATGTCTAACTATCATAGCCCCCTACCAACCTTAGATCCGGACACAACTGCATGTCCCATGTCAGGTGCAGCTCTAGATCTGTGGAGGGGAGATCAAGCAAGTGGGGTCTCTAAGAGACCCCATGGTTTCCAGATTCGGTTGTACTCAAGGAGGCTGTAAGATACTCCATCCTCTACACATACTTGTATACAACTCAACCAGAGAAGGGGGCTCCCATTGTTTCTATAGATTTTATTTATGCAA